AACTCATTAAAAAAGCAATGAATTGCTTGGAAATTTTCACAGACAGTTTACAAAGTGTTAGAAAGCAAAGTTACGCTTGAAGATTTTTTGTTAATATGTAAGTTTTGAGTATTCGACTAATAGAATACATAAATTTTATTTAAAAAATTTTGTATAATAAAGTATAAACGAAAACTTTACTAAAACTTTTGTGAAAAATCGAGTGTAACTTTTTAGAGACAGTCCTTATGAAGAGTTTTCACTTTAAAAATGTTAGAAAAAGAAGCGCAATATTTAGATGAATCTTTTAGAATTTGTGCATTTCTTTATAATTAATTAAATAAACTAATATTTAGTTGATCATTTTTAGCTTCACTGATAAAAATATGATCATAATAAAATTACTAATACTGCTTACATAGTTTTGATTACTTAGTTCATTTATCACCCTAGTATAATATGTATGTATACACATATTGAATTGTGTAAGCTAAGTGCATTATTAATCATTACGTATCAATATATCGCATCATTATCATTATCAATATATAAAAAAAAAACTATAAATTATATTTCGTTATTATTAGCTATAACCATGCCTAAGAATATCGATATTCAATTAACTGCAAAATTTTTATATAATAGTGTTAAACTTTTTGAGGATACTGTATGTACATAGCTTTAGACTATCTCTGTAAATAATAAACTTTACATTGATTATGCCGAAATCAATAACTTATCGAATCGGCTGAATAATTATTCAGTTAAATTTTCATAAGGTGTTTCAGGAATAATAATAACAGCTGTAAATCAGATTATTAAATTGAGATAAAACCAGATATCTGGCAGATTTTATCTAAAATATTTGGTTAATTTACATTTAGCATGAATATGTTGCATGTAGCTATAAAAATTTTTAAGGCTATAATTTATTGAGAGAGATAAATATCTTATTTAGCTGTTGAGTGCACAATAATCAAGTAATTGAGTTATCTAAGCCACTCAAGTTATACTGCTAATTCACTTTGATTCACATCATTCCATGAGTATAATGACATTTTACTATAGTTTAATTGATTTGTGAGTCAATGACTAGTTAATTCGCACTTAAAAATAAAGTAACTGAATTAAGAACCTATATAAAAAAAAATGTTTAAATTCAGAATGCTATGATATTTATTCATTAGCTTTTTTATTCGCATTATATTCATATCTAACGATTGTATAAAATTCTATAACCTTAAGTTTATTTAAGATCAGAATTCAACTTAAAACAGATTTTGAATTTATAATTATTTCGTATTAACTTACAACAGTAATGTGGCATATGGGTTCTTTGCTTTGAAAGTCATATTATAGGATATAGTAAATCATATGTTCTATAATGTGATTTTTAAAGCAAAGACTCCATATAGTTTTATTAAGTTTCAACCATAATCAACATTTTACAAGTCAACTCACGGGTCAATCTGTAGGTTGATTCAACTCAAATCAGGTCACCTGACCCACCCACAGGTGATCTGAATGACATCAACCCGGGTTCAATCCCTAATCCAAAGATATATATTGTTTCAAGATAAAAAACATTGGTTATCAGATGTAAGAAGTTGTTTAATATAAAGAATTTGATTGTTTTTAAGACTTTAAATAGTTGATAGTTTATGATTTAAAGAAATAAAGTTGTAGATCGAGTTTAGTTTGTAGTTATTTAAAGAATTGTTTGTATTGTTAATTAGATTATTAATATTGAATTTTATTAGAAAATATGGATTAATAGATGATTTGTTAGTTATCTGGAGATCTAAATGATATTAGTTATACAAGATTTATATATAAATTCTTTAATTAGTTAATGTGAAGATATTATATCTAAAACTTTTTTTCTTATTAAGTAAATCACTCTTAGATTTATAATGAAAGTTATAGAGCTTATCAAGATGCATTTAATAGTAGTGAAAATGTTAAAATCAGTCTAGTAATTCTTAAGAAATCTTTAAAAAACATTTTGACAATATATAAAATTTCTTTATATGGGGGTAAGTCAGTAAAAATGAGACAAATTTATTAGATAAATTTGTCCCATTTCTATTGATTCACCCCATATATCAGCGAAATATTTTTAAAGATTTCAAATATATATACTATGAATAAATTAGCACTAGATCTATGATATATACAAGATCATGTAACTTTGTACTACTGATCATTATATGGTTATCAGTAGAGATGTTCTATAGAATAGGTGGGCAAATACTGCAAACTCTGCAACTCTGCTATTAAAAATTAATGATTATTAATCATTAGTGAAGCTTATTTCTTATATTGCCTACCTATTCTATAGAACATCTATCAGTAGTACAAAGTTATATAATCTAGCATATGTTAATAGCTAATCACATATTAAAATACTATGTGATTTAATATTAATTATCATATGATAAAGGCATGCCTTTTAGCTTAAAGGCATACCTTCAGCCATATCAGGAGCATACCCAAAAAGCATGCCTTATGTTCTGTATCTTCAATCCTATTCAGATGGTCCAGAAGAAATACTAGTCCTATAGTATCTGCTAATTCTTTTTTTCTGATCAATGCTTAAACTGGCGGCGGTCTAGTTAATAAAGCAACTTATTAGATGCTCTTGCCATGTTCAGTTAACTGACTTCAGGTAAAGCCTATTCCAGTAGTTATCATTAAATGTTTATACTACATCTCTATTTAGGTCTTGCCAAGCAGGTATCTATCTTTTTAATTCTTTAGATTAATATGATTATGAGAACTTATCTTAAATTAACACTGCCCAATATTGGCTTGTATGCCTTTGTATAACTTATATATTGCATAAATGCCTATAATTTCTCAATCTTGTTGGTGCCACCAAAGTTACAGAGATCCTGTTCTAACTGATTGTCAAAAAACAGTAATGTTATACAAATAGAATTTCAAAATTTTGCTATTAGTAGGGTTCAAACTCTCTATCTACTAACATACCACTTGGGAGTATAACAACTTAACCACTTTACTAAGTTGCTACATCCTCTTCTACAACTTTTATTATGAGTCTAAGAGTGATTTACTTAGTAGAAAAAATGTTTAATAGTTCACATTTGGCTTAATAGTAAAATTTACTTACAAAATTTACAGATCACTTTACTAAAATGCACTTATAGTGTTTTACCACCTATGTTGTATTATCTCAAAAACTAGCTAATTAATTGATGCGAGATGTTCTAACTAAAAATGTTCTATGCCCCAAAAAACCCTTCCTAAACCCTAATCCTAACTTTAACATTTACTTTAACGTAAAAAAATTGATGTTAAAAATTTTATATACCAAACTTATAAAAACTTAGAAAATTTTAAAAACATAATAAAAACATTAATAGGTGCAAAACCATTATAGGTGTGTTTTATAATAATTGTTTAATATTATAATTATTATATACTATAATATTTTAAAAGTTAATTAACTAATTAATATTAAATATTTTAATAAAAAATTTAAAAATTTTAATTTAATTAAAATTTAAATTTTTAACTTTAAATTTATTATAAAACTATTAAAACATTATTAATATAACTAATTAAAAATTATTAATTAAATATTTTTTATTATTGCAATACTATATTTTAAAATTTAATATTTTTATATTTAGTAAAAAAATAACAAAAATATATATTATATTTATTATATCTATAACACTTTATTATACTGTATATAATAATTACTATACAGTATATGAACTAATTTAGAGTAAATATATAGTACATTAAATAATATACCGCATATTATATATTATAGTATTATATAACATAATATTATAAATATAACTTTTTAATAATAAATTATAAAAATATTATTTAATACAGTATATTAAATTGTATATTAAATTTTAATTGTATATTACATCATTATAAAAAAATTAAAAATTTTTGTAAAAAAATTATTAATTTTTTTTTAAAAAAACAATACAAGATAAAAACAATTGGGTACAGTATAAAAAGCAACATATTTAATAAGCCAAATAAGGTTAACTAATTATTTATAATTTAATTTTGGATTACCTATTATAAACAATTAAAAATTAATTTATAAGAACAAAAACAAACTTTTTATACTATAGAAAAAATACAATTTGTACGCAATAATTACGAACCTATTATTTAAGAATTACTAATTATTACAGTTCATTGGATAAATTAGACTAACTAATATAAAAAATATATCATTTACTCGATTTAATTGCCTTTATCAAAAAATGATGAATCATTAATATGCGAGAAGCGTCACGTGGATAAACATTTGGAAGTAGTGTGATGAGTGGGATTACCTTAACAAAATAAAACGTCATTTATTTACACGGACACAAATATTAATGCAAGAAAAGAATAAATGCCGAAATAAAAAGCTTAAAGAGGCTCAATTATCGATAGCTGTCAAAATAACAATAACAAGAATAATACGGGAATCACAAAGATAACGATAAATCTTTCACTGCGCCACAAGATTAGATAAAAAAATTTTTTCCCCTGATGGCTTTACACTACATGCATAATGAATGCTTACGATACAATGCTAGCGTCAATTGATTTACGTTTGGAACTATTTGGCAAAATAAACCGTTGGCGCTATTGCCATTGAAACAAAAATTGTGGAGTTTATTAAGATTTATATAGAAGAAAGAAAGTCACACTTTACTAAAATTGGCGTAAGCGAATAATATGGGCGTACATGCAACATTCATGCACAGATTATTTGGAGTACATGTATGTAGCCATATATTGAACAGGATTAACACAATTCTGCCGTAAAATGTCCTATGATCCGGTCACGCTTTAATGCGTCCTACGAACAATTGAACATTATGCGAGCGAGCAGAGGGCGAAAGCCAAATAACACGATCTCGAGAAGGTTATTCTTTTATTTGTATGACTATATACAAGATTTTTTGCCATTATTACAAAATTCAATAAACAATAAATAAAGAAACATGGATTATAAAGAATACAAACAAATGTACAATATTTTTTTGTATAATCCTTTAATTACGTAATAAGAAACATAAATTTCCTTTGAAATACGGACGAAAATGGGATTGCCATAGGAGATTGTGAGCTTAGTATACAACTTAAAGTAGCGGTCCAAGCGGATTTACCACAAAATAAAAAGATGAACGACAAATTTGGTAATACGGAAACCATGGGGAAAAGTGGGGTAGATAATGGTGGGGTAGGTTTAGGATGTACAAAAGAATGCATTTGGTTCTAATAATGGTCTATTGTGTCTATTGTTTGAATTGTCTTTGACAAGTTGACATGTTCCAGGTATTGTGTTTTTACTTTTGTATCACAAGCACAAGAAAAAAATTTTTTTAAATTATCTGATTATTATGCGTGTTATTGTATAAAAATAAATGCGGGTTTTTTTTTCTTTTTTTTTTTTGGACGTCAATGGGGAAAAGATTTGCGTTTGTTTGTGTTCAATGGACATATACGTATTTATTTTACAGTATAAATGCTCGTAAAGAAGATTTTATAATAATACTAAGCATGTATAAAAAAAAATTTTTCAATAATTGCACCTTTTTTTTTTTTTTTTATACCATTAACCAACAATAAAATGCAGAGTCTTCTAACCAAAACTAGACTTTTTTTCCCAAGTGTTTATGAGGAAAATTTGTATTTTAATCCCGATACTTCCCCAGCTTCCCGTCTTACATCCTTTCTTCCTCACTCACGACCTTAATAATATCAACCCTTTCTCTCGTTGAAGTGTCTCTTCGACATTTTAACTGAAAATTTGTTTCATGAAAAAATCTCCTTGTAAACGACCAATCGCGATTGTTATTAACGGGCAACTATAAATCATTAAAATTCATTATAAGTTCGCTTTGTAAAATAATTTAGCAATGGAAAATAGAAGTCAGGTAAATTTATATCCATGCACGCGTAAATATATATATGTTGGTTTGTAAAATATTAATTTTACAATTAATATATAATCATTTATATATAAATAGTATCGAACTTTTTGCCCTAAAATAATCTTTCACGAACCCTACCAACATAATGATTCGAATTTCGCTAATTACTCGTATTACTACCGGGGTGAAGATTATATCAGGTGGAGAGAAAGAGTTGCAAATATGTTAACTAGAAACAGTCAAATCTGGATGCTTGAAAATGGTCGAGGTAAATATTTCTTTATTATGAATAAAATATTTATGAAGAAATAAATAAATAAATACATATACTTATATCTCGATATAATATTTTATATGAAAAAAGATATTATTTTTAATCACGACCTAATAGACAACACACAGTCGTTACCCACATCTCCCACCCTCCCCCTTCAAAATTCTTTTTACAATCATCGTATTATTCCCCAAGGACCTCAGGTCATAGATGGAACTTTTGTAACTGTGGGTGGTCCAAAAAAACGGCGTGGAAACTTACCTAAAGCCACGACTGCCCTACTTAAGGACTGGTTGGCAAAGCACAAAAAGCATCCCTACCCGACTGAAGAAGAAAAACAAGATCTTGCTAAAGAAACCATGTTGAATTTACAGCAAATTTCTAATTGGTTCATAAATGCAAGAAGGAGGCATTTGCCCCTTATGTTAAATTCGTCAAATTCTAAAAGCACCGGTAATGACCTAGATATATATCCGTACAAGGCTGCTGAAAAAGCTGATGGTATTTATCTTGAATAATGTGTTCGATTTTATTAATTTCAAAAAATTATTTCAAAATTGTTAATTTCAAAATTATTCATTATGATGTTTTATTTTTATTAAAGGCGACGCTTCTGACACCAAGTTTACGAAGCATCGTACAGCAAAAGCGTGCCGGATTATGAACGGTGCGATTACTAAGCCACAGTCACATAAATGTAGAGGAAGAAAGTCTGTATCATAAGATTTTCGCTTGATTCTATATATTCTCCCATCTTCCTCCCCTCGTATTACTTCAATCGTATATATTATAATTTCCCCTCCCCACTCCGTTAATTTTTTTTTTGATGAACATTTAATACACCATCTATATTATATTTTTCCTTTATAAACTTAGGGGTATATGAATTGGGTTTTTCGCGCATAAATCCACCTAATCGAATATATTCCCTTTGTACAAATCGATTCGTTTTTACTCTATGCTTTTTTAACCACTCAGTGGTTATTATGCTATTTTTTAATATTGGAAATTTATTTAAGCAAACTTCTTTACCGGTAAAGATAACCTAAAATTATATATATATATCTATATATATTTATATTTATATGCTACGTATTCACAAACCTATGACTTAGGAACAAAAAAAAAAAAACAAAATCGATCATCGATACGTTGTGCGCGTGTTGTCTTGTTTATTATTTTATTTTTTTTTATTAGTTTTACTTTTTTTTATCTTTTTTTTTTTTAATAATCTTTTGTGTACATATTCTTCTATATCCACCTCCTATGTAAAATATGTAAATATTATAAATATAGCTTTTCCCTTCTCCTCTGTAATATGATTTACCCGCTCGCTATGTAAAAATTGTAAAAAACACACAAAAAACACGTAATAAAAATAAAAATAATCGTTGGGATGAAGGATTTTTTTCATAGTGCCATATACTATTTTTACAAAGATCGTATTAAGTGTATAATTGATGTCAGGGACCAGAAACACGCATGTACGTATATGCATGTTAGGCTTATTTCTCATTTTTGTAATAATTCAAGTCGTTCCTTTTCATGCATTATTGCATCATTTACTGTTCCAGTTTATTTAATAGTCTCCGATATCATTGTTTTCATTTTTTTAGTTTGTTTCGTGTACAAAAAGATTTAATAATTGAAATATGCTTTTTGTGACTAATAATCGTGTATTAAAAGTCTGTTCGTTTTTATTGATATTGACCAATCGCAGAAATCTCGCTTCAAAAAATTAAGGACGTGTAATTCCAGGGGTTTACTAATTTTCTCCTCAAGTTTTTATTGGATGCTTGTAAGTTCCGCTCCTGATTGGATGAAATAGAGTGCATCCCATTTTGGTGGCTAGAAAATGCCATTTTCATAATAATTACGTCGTGCGTACGTACGTACAATGTAAGGTAAATGCGGGTATTATGGCGAATGTGGTAAAATGGCGAATTGAAACTATTACAAGAAAGCGGACTTTTTACTACGTAAATAAATCATGCCACATTTACTAAATAATATTGTTCGAAATATCAATTGCAAATGTGGACGAGTCAATACGTAGAAGCAATGCAAATTTTTTATAATCAATTTTTTTAAAAAAACTTTGAACAAAAATAAATTAACAAAATCCAATTCAAAGTTGATAAAAATTATTTTAAATTAATTTTATAAACTTATAAAATTAATTTAATTTTTTTTATTAAATTTGATTAAATTTTTGTTAAGTAAAAAAATTTGTGATGAATAGGTGGGCAAACTCCGCAAACTCCACAATAAATAAAATAAATTACTAAATATTTAACTAAGGTTAATAGTTAGGGTTAGAATAAAGAATAGCATATAGTAAATTTTTTATTAAAAGTAAAAGGTAATTTATTAGTAAAATATTAAGTTATTGGTATTTTCTTTAAAAAAAATCATAAAAATAAATTTTATATTTTATCTAATTTTTATATTATTATTGTAATATTGATTACCAGTAATATAATTTAGTTTTAAAAGTGTGGTAACTTAGTGTAGTTGGTAAGTTGTTACTCTTCCAGTGGCAGAACAAAATTTGAATCTCACTGGCAAAAATTTAAATTTACAGAATGTATTATAAAAGACTGTATCCTATTGAGTCTGTATCTGTAATATAGTTATACTAGCTTGTACTAGAAAGTTGTAAAACAATAGTATAATGTATAAGTTATACAAAACCTAAGTGAAGTAGCTGTGTAAAATCAACAAATTAAAGAATATAAAAGTTTGCTTAAAAAAACCTGAGTATAAAGGTAATACAGATTTTTGATAGTATTATATAAGAATTATCATTTGAAGAACTGGCAAACTGAACAGAACTAAAGTATTTAGCAAAGATTTTATCAACCAGGCTGCTGAAAAAGTAAATAAAGAAAAAAACTTAACTATAAGAATCAAGAGAGATTACAGCCTTTTTAAACTATCTGAATTAGAAGTTTGGATTGCTAGAAGTATTATTAATAGTTTGAAAGTGTGTACTAAGATATAATTAAACTTTATAAAAGCAGAAGTAGATAATAGTAGCAAAGGTAAAAGGCTGCAAATATTTGTTCTCAGATTCAGCATAAGTTATCAAAGTTTAGATTAGCCAGATTGTATATATAAAAGCTTTAGCAATAATGTTTTGAAGATAAATTAGTTCTAAAGAAACAGATCAGAATTTAAGAGTTCTTAACTAACAAATATAACAAATATATATACATATTGATAAAATTATTTTTGGGTTTAAAATCTAAAATTAAAATTTGAAGATGAAATTGTTTTTGATTTATTTTACTTGGATGTTCTATAGAATAGGTGGACAATATAAGAAATAAGGCTAATGATTAGTAATTATTAATTTTTTAATATTAGAGTTGTAGAGTTGGTAGAGTTTGCCAATCTATTCTATAGAACATTCTTTTACTTAAAAGATAAAAATTTTTGACACTTTTTTGAAAAGACAAAATTATAAAAAATATAACTATTTAAATTAGATTTCCTCTTGTATATAAAAATTCTAATTTACTCTAATAAAGATAAAATAAATTTTTTTTTTAAAAACCTATTTTAGTAGTATATATATAAGTAAGTGATGCTAGAGCAATGTTTCTTGAATTTTTTAAGTAGCAACAAACAAATTCTATATTTTATATTGATGTTCAATTCAAAAGTTATAACAACTATTTTACAAGACTTTTTTAGATGAGTCCAAGTCAACAATAGTTATAGGGAGGGTGTAGTGACTTAGTGAAGTTAATAAGTTGTCACACCACACTCCCAAGCGGCAGGACAAGAGTTTGAATCTACTGGTGACAAAATTTGAATTTTACAGAATATGTTATAGCAGACTGTATATAATCTGATAGATCATCAGATCTGTAGCTTTGGTTATACCAGCTTGTACTGGAAGAATGTGAAACTATAGTGTGATGCAAGAATTATATGAAACCTGAGTGAAATATTTGTATAAATCCAAGAGCTGGGGCATATAGAATTTCACTTAGCAAGTCTTGAATAGAGAGGTAGTACAGAACTTTGACAGTGCTACGTAAAGAATTATCAACTGAAGAACTGGAAACTGAACAGAATCAAGGCGTTTGGCAAGGCATCATACCAACTATATATGCTACCGAAATAGGTTTTCAAAAAACCTCTATTTCG